AATATATATACTTGAAAAATGTGTGAAAAATTCTGCAATCATGACTGAACTGAAAAGCAGGATTTGGCCTTTTGACTGGAGATAAGTAAGGAGCATAAATGTCAGCAAGGGAGAGGACTTGAGCAAGTTGAGGGAGTTGGAATGGAGCAAAGCCAGAGTTTAGAGAAAAGGAGCAAAACAGAAGACAGACTGCAGAGGACAAAAAGAAAATCCCTGCTGAGAGGAGATGGACAGGATGTCACATTGCACTTAGTTCAGTTTTTTCATTTGAAAGAATTCATAAAGACTCCATGTGGAAAATGCAAATGCACTGTATGGTGGCTAATCTTGTACTGAGAATCACCTGTTTTTTCAGGGCTGTCTGGTAGGGAATCCTTCTCTTTTTTCTGGGCTGTTTTGCATGAGATGGTGCATGTAAGCAAGAGAGAAAACAGTGTAATCCCAGCAATTCAGCAGTGAAGCAAACCCTGGAGTCACCACGGTGTGTGAGAAAGCAGGTGTTTCTGGACTTCAAAGCACAGCCAGCCCTGCCAGCCTGGCTCTTCTCCCAGCACCCCATCCCGACTAGAGAGAGACCTGCTCCAGGAAGGACACAGCTCCTTGCAGAACTCACACCTCTTCCCATGCAAGATTCCTGGTAAAATCTCTGTGCCATGAGAGCACGTGACCTTTCTGGGGAAACAAGTGTCCTGCATAAAGGAGGTGGGTCGGGAGCTTGTGTTTGTCCCTCAGAGCTTCTGACCATTTGCTTTGCTGGTGGGGAGGAGAGGCGCGTGTGCACCTCCAAGCAGCCAACAGTTGCCCCCATCACCAGGCCCGAACAATCACACTGGGGCTTACTACTTAGTGGCAAGAAGCTTTTATTTTAAGTAGATATGTGCGTTTTTACTTGACAATATTTTACTGGCTTACAAAGACGGAGGTAGCGACATGCGGTAGCTTCAGTTCAGAACCGTATGAAGCACAGGCTGGAGATGTGTGTGGTGCAGCCCAGGGATGTGTAACTGCAACCAGGAGCTGCTGTACCCCGACGTGAAGTTTGGGACCGCTGTTGAGGAAAAAAGGCAGCACTGTCTGAGCCCCGTGTGTTTGCTCCTTTGCCAGCAAGATACAGCTTGTCCAACAAGCAGGTCGTCTGCAGAGATCCTGGCTAGCAGAGATCCTGTCTACTGTCTGGCCTCCATTCAACTGCATGAGCTAATTGCCCTTTTGAAGAAGTTGAGGAGGAACCTGAAATACACTGTGTTAGGAGCATTTTGGCTCACCGAGGGATTTTGAGCTACAAGGGTCATAGCCCAAGTTTGCTAAGGAAATCTCATTCTGCACCACACAGGGACATGATCTGTACGACCCAGGCACGGCAGCAGTGTGTGACCACGGAAAGTGTCCTCGCTGCCCTTAGATAGAAACGCAACTTTCCCTTCTCAAAAGACAGTGCAGGAACAGGCTGCGGTCCAGGGTGAAGCCAGAAACACCTGCATATGATCCAGCAGTAACTCTCTACGTAGAAAACCTCATGTGCTGGGCTGCGCCCGCCGTTCCCTTCCCAGCCGTCCTCCTCAGATGCTCCACATTCCTGCAGTAGACGCGTGGGGGGAGCATCAGCCGCATCTTTGTTGTTTGTTTCAGACTCGTGGGTGTATTTTTAACCCTGAGTAAGGGTTTCAGCTCCCTCTTTCGTCAGGCACCGGCGTTGCTTCCCTTCTGCCGGCGGCCGTGCCCCCCGCCCGGGCAGCAGCCAGGAGGCCTCCATAGGCTCCTTTGCCCAAGTTCCTTTCCTCTCTGTCCCGTGGGTGTCCCCTTGGCTCCAGCTAATCGCCTGCCATCCCCAGGTGGGTATTTCCAAAGCCGAAGAGCCCCGAAAGCCTCAGAGCAGGAGAGGGAGGCTGGAGCCCTCCTGTGTGCTGCTGCCGTTTTGCAGCACTAACATGCAACTATTCTCTGAATTCCTTCTCCAGAGGTTCTTGCTGGTGGATGAAAGGTGGGAAGACCTTCATCAGTAAAGTACTTTGGAGAAAAATAGAGCCCAGTGAAGAACAAACAAGGCTGTGTTCATGCTCTGCCTTTTCCTGAGAAGGCTTTGCCAGATTTGCCTTTGCCTCTGCCATAGGCTCCAACCTGTCAGAACATCTCTTGGCCTTGGCCTTGAGAAGAAGGGTTGGCCACCACTGCAGACATGTACCCCAGTGCTCATGTAGGGGCTTGCTGAGACTGGTGGCTGCTGTTCTCCTGGCAGCTTCCCCCAAAGTCATACGGGAATCTGAGTTAGAAAGATGGCAGAGCCAAATGTCTCATAGTACAAGGAAGTGATGTTAGGACTGACAGTCACCAGCTGTGGATTGGGAGATTCAGGCAGGACAGTGGGCAAAATGTTTTTATCCAGAGGGTGCTCCCACCTGAGTGGGAGGAGCCTCCTTGCCTGGAGTTTCCAAGTCTTGACTAAACAAAGCCATGGCCAGCCTGACATCATGCCAGCCATGATCCTCCTTGTGAGCAGGCTGTTGGATGAAGTGATGCAGAGGTCTGTTCCAGCCAACGCTTCTTTGATGAATTAACAGAACTGTACAGCACCTGTCAGCCTAGTCAGGATCCTTTAGGGTGTTCAGACCATTGATATGTTGCTGCATATCAGCTCTTCCTTGTCCACTGTAACAAAGCTCTCTTTGGGCCAGCACTGAGGCTAGACCTGCTTTGAGGGGGGCTTAGATAACTTCCTGAAACTGCCTACTGGAGTCCCTTTCCCACCTGAATTATTTTAGGCATCCCTCTTAGTCAGCCTTCAGGATGCTACCTGTACCATAAGTAAAACCAACGCCATGCAAAAGCTCATTCATACACATTTAAACAATTAAGGGCTGCACATGATACTATTACTAACTTCCTAGCCATGAAGAAATGTTATTACCTTGAAGAATGATTTGTAATAGTCAAAAGTGTCCACTCACAAAACTTCTTAAGTTTTATTTTTCAGCAAAATAAAGCTGCAATTTTCCACTCTCCATGTCTCTGTGCATGTCCCTGTCCCTGTCCCTTCCAGCCTCCAACAGAAGGTCAGCTGTCCCACGAGCTGTGAAATTTCACATGTTTTTTTAATCACAGCCCAGCGACTTCTGAAAAGAGCTAAGGAGTTCTTTGCTCCTCCTGACTTTCTTGTTGCACGGGCCAAACATCAACAGGAACCTGATGTCTCAGGGTCCTCCTCTCCCTCTGGCAATAGTAGTCATATATAACCTGCCCTCAGCGAGGCTCTCGCACTTGTCAGGGCACCAGCTTCAAGCAAAGGTCAGTCAAGGTCCTGGAAGGCCACCCTCAGTCCTCATGCCCTTCTGCCCTTTTTTCCAGTCCTTTCAAGTTAAGGAAGGGTGGGAAGGTTTCCCGTGCAAGTGCCTTCAGGATGCATTTGCAGCCTTTCAGCTGAGCCCTAGCATCCCCTTCCTGGCCATGGGTCCTGGGGTGACCACAGCACAGTCAGCTGCGAGGAAGGGCACCCCAGGCAAGGAGCAGTTGCCTGGGCTGCTGCTGCAGCACTCCTGGCAGCTCTGTAAATTCACATTCTCACTCCTCTCACCTGAAGGGCTTTTGTGTCAGCTCCCACACACCCAATGCTTGCTGCTCACCCCATGGAGCGCCTGGGTGCAGGATGCTGGGCAGAGGGAGAGCAGAGCCACCATTTTTTGGGACAGGGAAAGCTGTAGGCAGCTTTCTGAGCAGAAGGAACACCCCAGCCTTTTCCTGAAATGCCTGGAGTCTGTGTGCTGTGTGCTGGCTGCCCTGAGCCCTCCAGGGATGCTGGCCCAGCACTGCAGGGCAGTGCAGGGGAAGGGGGCAGAGGGGCAGGGACAGCCCTGGTGGTTGCCAGCAGCCACCAGCCCCGCAGGGGATGCAGGACAGGCGTGGGAGGGTGGCACGGTGCTGTGTTGGGAAACCTCCAGCTGTGTTTGCCAGCTGGAGCAGTTGCACGAGCTGCCTCCTCTGAGGTTGTGATTGAAACGGTTCCTGCCATCGGGAATGGTCCACAAGCCAAAGGCCAGAGCAAAAGGGAGGGGGTTGCACCACTAGACAGAGACGGAGCCGGGTGGCTGGTTGTTGCTGTTGCTCTCGGAGGGGGTCTTCGAGGTAGTGGTCATTGAGCCACTGTTCCTGAAGATGAGGAGCAGCCTCCGCTTGTAGCCCCGGAAGGCAAAGAAGTAGATGAAGGGGTCTATGCAGCAGTTGAGGTTCATGAACGCCACAGTGACTTGAAGGGACATCTTGAAGGCTTGCTGCTCGCGGCAGGATGGCTGGTAGAGGATCTTCCTGACCATGAACTGGACGATGTTGAGGTGGTAGGGGCTGAAGCAGAGCAGGACAGCCAGCAGCACCACCAGGATGATGGTGAAGGCCCGGCGGTGGTGCCCGTTCTTCACCGTCAGCGGGTTCTCCTTGGCCGTCTGGCAGAGCTTGAGGTTGATCCTCACGTAGCACACCAAGATGATGCCCACGGGGAGGAAGAACCCGAGCACGCAAGCCCCCAGCAGCAGGTAAGGCAGCTTGGGAACCTCCTCGAAGTTGAAGTACTCCATGCAGGTCAGCTTGCCCCCCACCCTGCGCGTCATGGGCCGCAGCAGCAGCGGCGCGGTCTGGAGGAACACCAGGGACCAGGTGAGGGCACAGACGGCCCTGGCGCGGCCGCTGTTCCGCGCCCGCCCGGCGCGCCCCGTGCGCACCACCGCGATGTAGCGGTCCACGCTCACGCATGTCATGAAGTAGATGCTCACGTAGGTGTTCATGTAGAAGATGAAGGCGGTGGCTCGGCAGCACCAGTCGCCGAAGGGCCAGTCGGACTCCAGGATGTAGTAGGCGATCCTGCCGGGCAGCGCCAGGGTGAAGAGGGCGTCGGAGAGGGCCAGGTTCACCAGGTAGAGGTCGGTGGAGTTGAGCTTCTTCTTCCTGCGCTGGAAGGTGATGCAGAGAGCCAGGATGTTGCCGCAGGCACCGAACACCAGCAGGCCGGTGTAGAAAAGGGCGAACGCGACTTTGGAGGAGAAGTAGTGGTTGTGCACGTTGCAGCTGCTCTGGTTGCCGGAGGTGAGGTTGGAGGGCGGGAATGGGGTCCCTGCAGCAGCCATTTCTGCGGTGCCTCCCGAGCTCCTGCCCTCTCCCTGGCAAGAAGAACAGACATGAAACTTGGCAGCTTGTTGGTAACGGGAGCGGCGCCCGCAGGGCCGGGTCCTCGTCGGGAAGGGAAGGGTCTGTCCCCTGCTCCCTGCCACCCCCCGGCAGCAGGCAACTCATTTGGAAAAATGCATCTCTTGTGATTTCGGTGGTGAGATTCTCAACAAAGGCTGTGACTCATTTTTCTCTTCTTGTTACCAGTTTTTTAGGTGTTGGGTTTTTGGTTGATTTTTTTTGGTGTTTTGTTTTTTTTTTTGCAGGTCCAATCAATACCAGAAAAGATGGGGAGCCGAGATGGGAGATCATCTGTCACACAAACAGGATCCTAAACTCATCTGGTGACAGCGATGTCATTTATTCATCACCACGGGCAGGATGGGGAAAAAATGCCCAGAAAGCGGCGGGGTTGGAGGGGAAGGAGGACTCGTGCAGCTGGGGAGGGGGTAAGGGCTGGAGGTGACACGGAGGAAACCTTCGCATCCCTCTGTCCGGGACCAGCGAGGAAAGAAAACTGAAGACATTCCAAGAGAGGCAAAATCCCAACCTTCCCCCAAAACCCCGTGCCCCGCGTCCGCCCGGCACCAAACCCCCGCTCCCCGCACGTCCTCCCGCTCGCCCCGCCGGGCAGGGGCCGGCGGGACCC